GAGACAGAGTGGCCTGGAAGTACATACACACACACGCACACAGCCTCTTTCGGCACGCAGTGATCCGTGCGGCAGCGTGTTGTCTTAACCCGTTACTCGACCAGGCTAGTAGCACATGCAAGAGAGGCCCGAATGAAACACCCCAGCCGCGTGTCCCGTGCGTACATACGTGCCTGCGAGTGTGTAGTTCTCTCTCACTCGCTGGTCCGCAAAGATTATCCGAAATTGCAGAAGTAGGCGATTGCACACTTGTATGAGTTTGTGTGGCCGAGCGGAACCTTGCTCTGGTTCTGGCCCGCTCCGCCTCGACGTAGATCGATCGCCAAAGAGGGCGAGAGCGAGACATTGCAGCAACCAGCTGTGTGCAGCTGTAGAGCACCCAAGAGGGCATAGAACAACCCCTTGGTTGCTTTGTGGAAGAGGTTATCGATAGACTCCTGATAAACTATACAATAAATGGTATTGGATCTTCTCTTCGGCTTGGCTGATATTCTTTTTAAAGTGGACGCCCACGAACGGCTAAGGCACAAAGGACGAAACGCTGCAGTTCTTCATTTAAATAAAAATCTAGTGATTACAGTAGAAAATATACAATGATACTTTCTCTAAAGGGAATTGGGAATTTAATTTTCGAACTTCCTGATTAGAGTGAAGACCAGATAAATTGCTCAGAGGATGGTGTTAAAGAAGCGACAAGGCGCCTTCTGCCGATCATCATATGGACAAAATTTGAAGCATGTTTCAGTTGCGAATGTGAATGAAATCCATCGAGGCCGCGACTTTTTCACAAGTGGGTCAACTGAAATAAGCAAATCTGCCAACCCTCCTAACAAGAAATCTACTTCGTAGTTAATTCGAAATGATCAGGAAATGTTATCAATAAGAGCGAGGAAGGGAGATTGGAATAACCCCTTTATGGCTTATTAGCCACCAGAAATGACCAATCCGGCCTTTATAGTCTCATCCTGTATCCAGTCACTATGCGACGGCTTACGGGGCTCTAAATCGAGCTCGAAAGTACACAGCATGAAACTCAGCATGATGAGGCTTGTGGTACGTTGCAGTCGCGCACAAAAAGGGGTTGTGAAAATGAACTAATTCAACCCACTACGCTTGCCAAGTGTCACAGGCTTTGCAACCTAAGCTCTATTAAGCGTCATTTTGGTAAACTTGCAAGTATTTGGTCATCCAGATTTCCACCATATTAGACTCCTAAATGCCCTGCATCGGAAGTATTCGGACGTCCTCGCACCAGCCGCTTTAGGCCA